CCGTGACTAATGAATGTGTATACTATTATACATAAATACTTTTGGATTGTTAATCTTTTTTATTATTATATTGTCCCTTTCACTGTTTACATATAATGTTTAATTGCTTTACTTTTTTCATTCGTTTTGTCTAAGTACACAAAACACACTACACACAATGGTTGCATGGAAGAGATTGCTCGAAAGTGAAATGCCGCCAGTTGCCCTCCTTTTTATTTTAATTGTACTGTACTGTTGGGTACTTGCAACGAAGTGTTAATAAATAAATTGTTGGTATGTTCGTTTCAATAACAAAAAATCAACGACGTCGAAAGACAAATGAATTGCTCATAACAAATTAAACCTGTAATACGTAACACAAGTAAATAAATCCATCAATCAATAACAGGTTTTAAAGATATTGTTTGATGACTTTAATGGCACGTACCACGGACTAAAATGTAACGTTTTACGTAACCAACTGATTTGGCGCGAGGCTTAATACGTATCGTATGTACACAAGGTTAATGTATAAATCAAATAAACAGGGAAAGGAAATAGCAATTAATATTTATAGAATTGACCGCGACTTCGTCTGTAGAGTTAAATTACAATTTAAGTAAAAATATACGTTTAAAAAATTCAAAAAATTATTTTTATTATTAGCTTTTATTGTTGACACCCAGTATAACATATATAAAGATTTGTATTAGTTACATAACCTAACCTAATCTTATACATCAGATGTTCCGGTTTTGGTGATCAGCGTGTCCTGTGACACATAGGCCTCTTCCAGCTGCTTCCATTTTTTTCTAATTTAAGGTCTTCTTGTCCTAGTTGTGCCTCCTATTATATATCTGTTATTTTATAAAAAGATAATGAAGCATAATGACTGCTAAATCCGAATGCTTTTCGGTATAGCGGGTTGTTGTTGTAAGAGCAATGAATCATACTGGACCCGATTTAGGACTGCATTCGGGAACGTAATTTTTGAAGACAAATAATTTATAATATGTGATTTTGACAGTGTTCAGGAGTAAATCTCAAGTGGCGTTACGCAATAGCTAATCATTATGGCCTGGAGTAATAAATACATACGAGCCTAGATTTTAATGTACGAAATTGTATCAAGTTTGCTCATAGCTTAATTATTCAATGGTTAATGAAATTAATTGGACCGTTAAATTAATCCAGTTTTAAAACGTAATTTGTGTCGAAATTTCATTTCTTCACAATTTCCCATACTGTTGTCACAAATTCCTTTATTCAGTCAGCGTTATTCAAATGTCATGGATCAAACATAGGTCGTGTGTTTATTGGTGTCAGTGGGGTACTAATAGGTAACGCCTTTATATTAAAGGTAAAGGCTAAATTCATATTATACGGTATAATAATTAGTAGTAATATATATGAACATGCTATACAGCTCTCAAAGCGTATCCACCCATCTAATCAAGCATATAATCAAACTATCTTTTTTAATGTGCCGACATTTTTTTTCGCTGGTAATGAACCTAGAATGTCTCCACGACATAGATTGTTCCCGTGTTTAGATTAAAATCTACTGAAATCTACTGAAATATGTATTAACATCAAATTTAATATTTCGAATACACTTTAATAAAATTTTATTAGTATTTGTTTATATTTTTTAATATAGGCATATTTTAGGTATCTAGAGAATAATTTTTCGATTTCGGCCATGTGTTTATCGTCTGCTCTATTCCCTGGTTATATTTCAACCCCTTTGTTTATGTATTCAATAGAAATTGGCTGAATCTGACACTATTATATATTTATTGTATCTATTTAGTAATCGTATTATAACGCAACACAAAAGGTGACGAAGTCAGAATTTCCCGTTATTTTATACTAATCTAATTGACATTTGAATTTCCAAACATTATAGTTAAGGGTTTCAAAGGTTAGTGGCAATATATTGTTACATTTTATTTAGTAGTTACCAAAGGTTATTAAAATATGGTTAGTTTTAGATGTATTTTTCTTCTAGAGTGATAGTTATTAAAAGAACATTGCCTCTTTCCCTGTATATGTAAATTATTGAATACACTTGCAAACCCACTTCACCGTATCTACTCGACTAATTGTGAACAAATCTGTATGTTAGATTTTTAAACTATTTTCATTTTTATTCATGTGGTAGGTATATGAATAAAGTTATTTTGAGTTTGAGTTTGAGTAGTGAAATTGTTTTCTACAACGTAAATATATTCCTTTTCAGAAATACAGTACAATTAAAATAATTAAATCACAAAGAGGGCAACTGGCGACCTCATCGCTTCCAGAGCGAACTCATCCAGGCAAGCAATTTGAGATTTTTTTTTAGATAAAGTGAGCGCAAGAAGTGAAAAACTACATAAGACTATATAGACAAAACCAATGGAACAAAGCAAATCAAATAAAACATATGTAATCAGTGACAACAACAAAATTTTCTGCTTTTGACTTTTTCTAAAATAAACATAAAAATTAATTAAGTCTGTTTTAGTAATGGTTTTCTCAATATGCAACTTCTACATTTTTCAACGCAACCATCTCCGGTAATTGGACTCACTACTTCCAGGTTTAACGAATTGAAGAAAGCTTGCTAGACTAATTATTACAGAAGTGTATAAATCACTTATTTATGTTACGTTACGATTTTTAATCTATCGGTTACACTTGTGTTACGAGAAATGTATGTTGGTCATTCGAACTAGGAGAATGTTGGAATCGATTAATCTGTAATAACTATATGATATAAGGATATTTATCTTGATGCTTTTATCAGTCGTATTAATCTTGTTAAGTAATCTTAAATCTGCATAGAGAGCAGTCATACGTGGAGTTCGTTACATGCTTAACCTATAAATAACAAGCATGATCGCCTCTCACAAATTCAGTTTAAATTAGTCCAAAGATAACGGCTGACAGGCTTCTTTAAATTGTGGGTTACAATTGACAGTGTATTTTATAATGTTGCGTATTCTTTATCGTGTATTGTATTTATAAGGTTACAAAAAAATTAAATCCAACTATTGTAAAATCCTGATTCTACTTTTTATCTGGGTTATTTAAAATATTATTGTTTGGTAAATGCTTTCCTCTTAAAATTGCAATATAATGTTAATAAATGAATACAACCATATTTCTATGGGTTGAAAGGGACTATATATTAATTAAGGACATATATACATTGAAATTAATGAGTGATATTTATCCCAAAAAGAACTAAGAACTTTAACAGAATAGAACGAGAACGGATGTATGTTGTTTGGCGAGGAAATACCGAGCTGTTTTTATATACGCTATAATTGTCCATATCCGAATAATTACAAAACATTAATTGATTTCTTTTAATACTAATGGGTACAAGCAATATTGGCTTCTACTTTGACATTATTAGTTAAATTACAGTCGAACTTATCCAGCGAAAATATTTTTCAATTTAGCACGGGAGTTTATAATTTTAAACAAATATATCCAACCTGTTTAGTAAGTATTATATGCGCATTCCAAATAAATCGAAGGTTTAAACAATCTTAGTTTCTGCCTTTTATCAAGAGTTACGGGACTTCAAAGATAGCTATTCAATGCATATTACTTGTAATAGATGTGAATTCATGAATGTAATAGTGTCCTTGTTTGGTAACTTTCATTTGCATGTGATTTGCATCCATTCTAAGTTTTGGATATTGAGAATATTGCAACAGTGAATTAATTACTTCTCGTAAGAAATAATAGTAACGCTATTTCTAGGTTTTTGCATAGTTAGCATGAATATTGTAAGAACATACTGGTAACTTTTAAATAGTATAATAATATTATTATTCGAATTATCTTTTATCTTTAACTTTTATGACATACGTTTGTTAAGAGTAGAAAATATTAAAAGCAAACAGCTGTGGTAGAACTAACACAGGTACCTGTGTCTACTCAAACTCAAAATAATTTTATTCACGTAGGTACAATAAAATAAAATATGTTTATGATGGAAAATAAGATAAAAGTATTAAATATTCCACGTCATTAAATTTGAATCGGTAGACATCCCTACTCATCGGCAAAGAAGAAAGAGGGTGTAGGTCGAGAGAAAAAGGGGCGTAAAAAACTCTCAGTACTCTTTTAAAATCTCAAATTATCATACAAAATGACAGAAAAACCAGAAGGAGGGAGATACGGTCCGCTCTTTATTTGTATTAAATTACAAAACTAAACGGAAACCTCGCAGTCCAGTTTCGCATGCAAGCATGACGTGTGAGCCAGTCATCGTTTAACTCAATCATATTTGAGGGAATTAAACGACCCGTCACACAACGCCACCGCCCCAGTCACATTTTATTAAGCATGACTTCTCCGGCTTCCCAGTTAATAAAACTAAACCTAGTGCGCATGTCACGCATCTCCCTTCCTCCAGGCTTAACAAGCTGGCACGAGAAAACAGCACCACAAGACATCAAGTACAAAAGACTAAAAAAGAATCACAAGACAGCAAGTGGTTCTGAAATATCATGCCAATGCTATTCGCCACAACACTTAAAACAAGATAACCACTTATGAACATTAACATAAAAGATGTTAAATTGATTCTAAATTTACATTTACTACCAGTTCGCAGTCAAGGGCAAAGATCAGGCAAGAATAACTGGCAAGAAACTCTCCGCCACTCTTTTTGATCACCAATTAATTATCTATTAACAGTGGAAGCTAAAATAGCGCCATCTATTGAGATAACTAAACAACATCACGAAGTGAAGGGCTCAGTTATATAAGTGTATTGAAGTTTCCACTAATTTAGGAATACATTGATATTCTTTAATATTAATCCAATAGATGACGTACACGATGTTTTTTACATGTTGCATAATTCGCTTGGGGTTGAAATAAATGATAGGATAAACGTTGATTTTTGTATGCTTTTATTTATAAGCCTCTGCGATTTGTTACTAATAAATATGTACATTGGTTTAACAATATCGTATTTATACGTTACATCATATAAAAAGCATTTGGTGTCGATATTAATGGTTGTAGCCATAATGTCGATGATGATCATAATGCCCATGAGCCGTTTTGTAGTGGACATCAGCTTTGAATCTAGAACAATAGAGTCATATAGATTAAAAAATAATCGGTAGTTAAATATATTCTCGACGCAACCTTTTGAGAGCATATATTAGAGTAATATCTAAGTTTATTATGTATTGTGCATTTTAATGTGAGCACATTAATGTGAGCACATTAGTCTAATCTCAACGCCACTCTCTAGAGCCGAGCACAAGTATTATTTACAACAAGAAATGTTCCAGACGTATGAGAATTAGTAGTTTTTTCCTTAGATTACGTAAATAACTACGTTATAAATGTTAGTGACTAGAATGATTCTAAACTAAACCAGCCTCCTCAACCAGACTGTAGAGCCAGTCAGTCTGGCATCAATTATGAAGAATGTTGCTGTTTCTTATCTTACATTTGAGTATCTTCTTCTTGGGTATTTCTCTTCTACCTTCGTAAGCTACTTATATATATTAATTATGATTCATAACCCTAACTTAGGTTTTACTGTTTTATATATTTTAGTATTGTATAATTGTTGTGAATGTTTTTTTGTTAATTTAGTTATGCACTTCTTAAACTTTACTCTCAGTATTTAGTTTGTATTTTTCCATGGTAGTGTTGCCCGACAGAAATCGTTTGGCCGCCCGTTGCCTAATAATTTATGTAAACTGTATTTTTATATGTATGTTTAAGGTAACGAAGAGTAAATAATTAAATAGCTAACCAAATTGAATCCTCTTATAATCTATTGGACTTGAATCACAGGAGAAGATACTGAACATCCTTCTGAACAATCTTGTTCCTCAAATCAATGACTTACCCAGTGTGGTCATCAGCACTGTAATGAACATAACGCAGGTTGCCATCGGGCTGTACGAGGTGGTATTCACCCGTGACGTGGTCTCCATGACGTGTCTCATGCTGGGCCTTGTTGTCACCCGTGTGGGGGTCGTGTACTGAGTAGGCGAAGTTGTATTCGGGGAATGTATACTGAAATTTAATTAGTACAGCTTATTAAAACAAATACTTAACTGTCAAATCTCTAGCGTAGAAGGTGCTGCTCGAGCTTGGACTGATACCCAAACAAAATGTAATTGAACAATTTTTACTTGACCTACGGGAAGACGATTCTCCTAATATATCATAGTTTTAAAATATGGCAGGACTTATTTGATTTATTGATACGTGGTTGAAAAGATACTTACATGGTCATTGTGTCCGTGAACGTAGTTCGAATGCAGAGGCGCGTGAGGGTAACCAAGGTGGCCTACGTCGTGGTGGATTGGGGCATGGGCGATTGGAGCATGGGCGATTGGAGCATGGGCGATTGGAGCATGGGCGATTGGGGCATGGGCGATTGGGGCATGGGCGATTGGAGCATGGGCGATTGGGGCATGGTGGACCGGAGCATGGTGGACTGCATTGTGGTTTACAGATACACTGGAGTAACCATGTTGTGGTACATGGTGATAGCCCAGATTGTGTCCATGGTTATAGTCCAAGTTGTGTCCATGGTTGTAGACACCAGCGAGATGTCCAAGACCCAAGTCGTGGCCGTGGCCATGGCTTACGTAACCAAGATGGCCATAGTATCCCTGATCGTGGCCGTGACCATGATCGTGGTGACCGTGGTGACCGTGACCATGACCGTGGTGACCGTGGTGGCCGTGACCATGATCGTGGTGACCGTGGTGGCCGTGACCATGATCGTGGTGACCGTGGCGATTGTGGTGTCCGTGGTGACCATGCCCGTGATGTTGGTTAAGGTTGTATCCATATCCATGACCGTAGGCTAAGAGCGGGTTGTAGTACCCATACGAGTGGGCATATGGATTTCCATGATAGGGTAAAGGTAGCCCATGCCCATAATCGTGACGCCCATGGTGACCATGATGTCCGTGGTGGCCGTGGCCGTCAGAACGAGAGGTATATGAAACTGCATGACTCTGTACTCCAATAGCCAGGAGACAGAGAGCGGATAACTGTAAAATATATTAGTTTTAGTAAGGAGAATCTTTGTCACATAATTAATTTATTTATTTTAAGATTGCCGGCGCTCGGCACAATAATACAAGATTTAATGTGACAAGCATAAAACTTATGGGAAAACATAACAAACAAGAGATAAAAATATTCAATTATAAAACCTAAAGGAAAATTGATTTCAAAGTGTAAGGGGAGCAACTATGGACCCAGACCTATATTGTTTATCAGTTAGTTTTGGCTAAATGTGTTCATCTGAAAGAAAGGATAAATGGGATGATGGAGTGATCACTAAATAATTGATCAAACCCTTTTTAATAGTGAGGTAATATATAAAACCGAATCAAATAATTAATATTATACCAAAAAGATAAATACCTGTAACCACATGTTGCCGAATATTCGAATAAACTACAAAAATGCTTAGAATGAAAATCCTTATATTGGAGTACACTAATTGATAAACTATTATTTAATTGTAAAGACATTTAGTTAATTATATCCTGTGTAGAGAAAATCTGGCTATACGTGAAACGTTTGGAATATCCGTTGCGATTCAAGGGCGACTATTCAACACGAATGATTGGGCTCATCAAGAATTAAATGATTGTAATAAACACGATTGCAGATTCAGACACGTATGTCGTAAAGAACAATCATTTTTTTCAATGGCAATTCTAATTCATATAGGTATAACTTTTAATAAAATGTAGATATTTTATAAACAAATTGAAAACGCCTAGTCCTGAAATACGATTATAATTAACGCATACAAAGTTTATATTAATATTATTTTTTTTTTATAGAAGAAGGCTCACCAATACCGCCGCCCATGGAGATAGGGCTCGCATGTGTGTTGCCGGCCTTTTAAGAATTGGTACGGTCTTTTCTTGAAGGACCCTTAGTCGAATTGGTTCGGTAATGCTTCGGTGGGCAGCTGGTTCCACATAGTGGTGGTGTGCGGCAAAAACTGCCTTAAAAATCGCTCACTTGTGGAACGACGGACGTCGAGGTGATACAGGAAAATGCTATTACCAAACACTTTGCCGGGAACACCGCGACTTTATAATTATTTAAAAAATGTTTTACGATACTTCATCAGTCGCACTCTTCATTTCTGAAAGTCCTGTTAGTGACGCCACACAACATCCTACACTCTCCCCTGTCTTCCCCCCTCCTGTTTGCCTCTACGCCTGGGTGATAGTAAGACCCGTAAGAGCCTTTACTTGATCGGTTCTTCGAGTAGGGGATTTGTCTCGAGGTCTGGTGTGTGTATGTCCAAAAAAATCTTAGGATATGTTGGTAACAAAGAGTTCAATTTTTTGCCTGCAACCGTCTTAGCATGGATGATAATTATACTATACTTTAAAAAATATTGTTTAATAATCAAACATGACGGCAATTAAAGAGTTTTGTTTTGGGCGCCGTTTTCTAACAATTTTCTACTTAATAGGCAAATAGGTGATCAGCCGTTTGTGTATGACACACGTCGTTAATTGTCAAGTCTAAGGCATTCCAATTTATTCTCAACGTTTTCAAAAGAAAAATTCAATTGTTTACGGCCGTGAATCGAACACTAGACCTCGTGCTCGTCCACTAGGGGTTAGGCTACACATAGGACCGGATTTAGGGGAGGGAAACCGGGGCTACAGCCCCGGGGCCCCCACAATAGAGAATGTTTTAAATTCCGATTAGTAAACATTAGTAAAGAACTTTTTAATATATTTTTAAATGTTAGTTCAATACTAACAGAATCTACTTGGTTTCCAAATTAATTATTGATTGAAAAACTCTACTAAAAAAAATTGTTCATTTTATTTAGGAAATAATTTGGAGCCAGGGGTCTCCACTCCTTTGTTGCCCGGAGGCCTCCAGACCTTTTAATCCGGTCCTGGCTACACTGCTCAATGAAAATGTAAGGTGTCATCTTAAGAAAGTACATACATTTTTATTATATTGCATACAGCATAAAAGATGCTTAAGTTAACTTAGTATGTACTTAAATTTAAAACAGCTTATATTCAAACTTTTCTACCAACCCTGTAACAAATATCTCACATTATAATGCAAAGATTGGATCGCTTGTCTAAAATAATAAATGGTAAGGTAATATTTAAATATTAACCTATTCTAGTAGTATCTAGGAAACTTTTTTTAAAACCTTTTTCAATAATATATCAAATAAATTATTACTTTATTATTTCGGTCCAATAGCCAATTCTTTGACTCTTAATTATGAAAAGAAAAAGAAAAGAAGGTAAACACCCCTGTAGCTCATTTTCCACTAAGCAATTAGTATTTCCGAGAATTGAAACTTTAGGATCGTAGGATACAGCTTTGGCTTCCTCAAATCAATGGTTGAGTAAGCCAATTGGACGGAGGGATACAGCTATTATGATTTTGCTGGTTACAAATAAAACAACCCATAAAATTTTAAATTATCATTCTGCGGTTCAAAAATAAAAAAACTTTAATGTATGACTTATTATTTATTTCAAGATTACATTTTTCTCAATATAAACGGCAAAGAACGGCTTTAGAATGCTAAGTTTTCATGATGATTATAATTCCTTGGGGGGGTCAATGTATTGTGATTGATAGCGTCTGTACTCTGGTAAAATGTAAGGGTTTGGCCTAACTTTGTACGGATGTAAAACTCCAAAACTTGTTCTATCGAATGGATGTGTTAGTTTTCCATAGTGTCTTTCACGAGGTCTAGAGTGATCGAAATCAGAAACGTGAACGTTTGCATAAGCGTCATGTTTGTTTTTAGGTTCTAGTAGTTTTTTAGCCTCTTCAACGACATCCTTAAAATGTTTGTAGTGTTGATGCATATCGAGTTGCCCGTAGGCGTTGTTAATGTTTTTTGGATCGATGAGATGTTCACCGGCGTAATCGTTTACATACGGCTCTTGTTGTTTCTTTGGACCCAATTCATGTTCATCCGTTATGTGTTCGTGGTTGTCTTTATAATAAGCATTTACGTAGGGGACATGTTTCTTACGTGAATACAAAATTCTGTTCACTTCTTCAACTATATCTTTAAAGTGTCTATTGGGTACATAATTGCCATTGGCACCGTGGTAAGCATTTTTGTGTCCATTATGATATAAACTGTTTGAGTGTACATTATATTGGTTATGATTGTTCTTCGGATATTGTATACTAATGATATCTTTAACTTCATTATTAAAATGTCTGTAATTATGAGGAGCATTGTTTTCATGCGCGTAGTTGTTGTAAAAGTGTTTGGGTTCTGAATTATAGAATTCATTCGAGTGTGCAGTAGAATATGAGCTGGGATATTTGTTTTTAGAATAAAGTAAATTTTTCAAAACTTTAGCTGTCAGATCCGTAGAATATGAGTTGTCGTCGCGATTAACTGTTTTAGCATTAGGTGCAAAGTCAAAATAAGGGTTATAGTAAATTTTTTGATTGATGTTAGTATCATTATTTGTAGTGTTAACGGTTTCGTATTCATATTTGCTACGTGGATAAACTAATGCTTCAGAATAAACATTGGGTGTGTATCTATCAGATGCATCATTCTTATGACCATAGTAGTTTTCATGTTTGGGTTCAGGTTTGTCATTGTAATTATGTGATGGATAATAATTATTTACTCTTACAGGGTAATAATCCACATGTTTTGGTCCATATGGAAATAAACCATTAGCTTTAACTTTATACTCGTAGTTATTATCACTGTAATATGGCTTATAATTAAAGTAATGAGGGTCACTTTTATAAAGTGGCTCTCTTGGATTTGTATTGTTTTGTGATGGCTTGGTATATTGCATGTCTTTACCATGGTGATAAATGTAGTTAATTTTATCTAAAAGTCGCTGTCTTTCTGACTCTGCATCTGTGTACGATTCGTGAGAGTATCCGTGGTAATTTTCAGAATTATGTACTAAATAAGGATTGTAAATATCTTTAGTCAATTGCTCGTTTAAGGCTGATTTTTCATGTTGGTAATGAGTTGGATTTTGAGAATACTCATTGGCACGATAGTGGCTACAATCTACACACAAGTTCTTCAGTGCCAGTTCCTCGTAGGTTTTTGGACGTTCGTCACCGTTTAGAACATGATTATAGTCATGGATGGAAGATTTCGGTGGGGTTCTATAGTACGGTTGATCAAGTTTCATAGATGGTATTTTGTTTGTCACTTCAAGGCCGTGTATGTTATCACTGATAATTTGCGTATGAGCCAATGGAACATCATGATGCCGATAAGGTATGTACTCATTTTTGTTCGGGCCTAAATTTTCATAGCTACGACTATTGCTATGATGAGCATAGCTGTCATATTTCGCCACACGACCAATATTTTGTTGCCCCAAAGGAATAATAGGATTGTGGTTTCTGAAAAAATAAAAAGATTTAAAGAATAATAATAAACTATAAATAAAAATGATAAGAATATATACATACAAAACATTGTACTCGTGGCCATCGTTCAATGAATCACCCTGAAATAAAGAAAGTGAAAGTCAGTTTGATGGTGATAGATATAAAACAATATTTTTTGCATTCAACTACTGTCGAAGTCTATTAATTGTATCTCCTTATTAGAAAAGAAGATAGAAATGCAATACTGAAAAACCCCCACTAACAAAAACTTAACATCTTCAGAATTACTAAATAAATAAAGTATCCCAAAATAGAAAAAAACAATTAAATTACCTTAAAGTATATACGCTGTGGCGTATGTAAATAATCAGACCCTTGTTTAAGGAGGTCAGTTGCTCCATTTTCAAATGTTTCGATAACTTTTTCACTAGAAACACTTAGAGCCAAAACACTAAAAATAAATACCTAAAACGTAAATATAGATTAGTGTATAATAAACTTTTACACATATTTAAATAAAAACAATACGTACTTCAATCATGATAATGTATGCTTCACATCTAAACAAATATGAAAATGAGAATATTTTGCACGCAACGATATAACTAACAAATTGCTACGTTTAGCATTAATATTTTTTATCCGCGTTGTTTTTACAGTTTTAATTATGTGTATGTAAATCAACACATATATTAAATGAATTGAAATTATTTGTGTAGATTTGTGTGTTAGATGTATGTGATTTATTCAAAATATGAACTTTTTGCGATATTTTGTAACGAACATTCTAGAAAATAATAACTTCCATTACAAACTTTTTATGTGTTAATAATTAAAAATGACTGAAGTTGGGTATATAAAACTAGTCTTGCATAGTGCTATGAATTATTAATTGTTAGTTTAGTAATCAGTAATTATTTTTATACTCTATAATTCAGCATAATAAGGAAAATTGGTTAAGAACGATAAAGTAAGTTTTAGGCAATAGCCACTTATACAGTCCTTCAATTCTTTTTGCACGCTATTTTTATCATACTTAAAACTTTATAAATAAAATAAATAAATCAGTGGCGGTACAACCATTTTAGGTAATGTCCTCAGATTTCTGTATTTGTTTCATGATTTGTCAAACTAATGGCTGATCACCCTTCTGTGCCTGACACACGCTGTCGACTTTTTTTTTACTACAGCAAGCCGGGTTCCTCACGATTTTTTCCTTCACCGTTCGAGCGAATGTAATGCGTACGTAGAAAAAAGTCTATTGGTGCACAGGATCGAACCTACGATCCCAGGGATGAGATTCGCACGCTGAAGCCAACAGAGCTCTACTTAAAACTTGATAGACATATTTAATAATTTTTAATGATAGTAGGTACAATAAAACATAATAGATTTTAAATGTATAATAGATTACTTAAACGAAGATTTATTTGTACATACAGATTAATAATAATATTTATTATTTCATTTATAAGTACCATAAAATGACATTAACAGTAATTAGTCTCATCTAATAAGCGATCTCTTTGTATACATCTATTAGGTCCGGTCCTTACATATGAAATTGGCGTATTTCGTACTGGCCACTTTAATCACGATGTTCTCCTCTTTGGTAAGGAATTCCAAATTCAAATTTGTACAGCTATTTGTGCTTCGATGACAGTCATTCATTTGTTTTTTTTCTTCTGTTTTTTTCTGTTTGCGTCACTCATTTTACAAAATGGAAAACTTAAAGTATCGCATTATTTACGAGTACGAGTTCCGCCGTGGCACTAGTGATGCGGAAACGACTCGAAGGGTGAATGATGTGTATGGCGGTAGTGTTGCAAAAAAAAGCACAGTTCGTTTTTGGTTCCAACGTTTTCGTTCTGGAAATTTCGACCTGCAGAACAAGCCCCGTGGACGGCCTGAGACCCAAGTTGATAATGAAGTATTGAAGGCTATTGTGAAAGCGGATCCATCGAAAACCACGTCCGAGTTAGCTGCAGGCTGCGGTGTTAGTGATAAAACTGTTTTAATTCACTTGAAGCAAATTGGGAAGATTAAAAAGCTTGAAAGAGGGGTACCTCACGAATTGACTAAAGCAAACGCGCGTCGACTGCTGCGTTACATTACTGAACCGGCACAATAATGAAGGTATTTTAAACCGAATCATTACCTGAGATGAAAAATGGATTCTTTACGATAATTGGAAGCGCTCAGCGCAGTGGTTGGATCCTGGCCAGCCAGCCAAATCCTGTCCCAAGCGAAAACTAACCCCAAAAAAGTTACTTGTAAGCATTTGGTGGACTAGTGCCGGTATTGTTCATTGCAGTTTTCTCAAATCTGGCCAGACTATTACAGCTGATGTCTATTGTCAGCAATTGCAAACCATGATGGAAAAGCTAGCGGCTAAACAACCTAGGCTGGTCAATTGCTCCACGCCACTGCTACTTCACGACAACGCTAGACCACTCACTGCACAACAGACGGCTACCAAATTAAAAGGCTTCAATTGGAATGTCCAAGACATCATCCGTACTCCCCGGACCTTGCTCCAACAGATTACCATTTTTTTCAAAATTTGGACAACTTCTTGCAAGGGAAAAAAATTTACTCTGGTGGGGCAGTCCCAATCGCCTTCATAGATTTTATTGATTCCTGTCCGACTGGTTTTTTTAGTAAAGGGATCAATGAACTACCTATGAGATGGCAAAAGTGCATAGAAAACAATGGTTCATACTTTGATTAATTAAATATATTATATTTAAAAATATTCGACTTTTTGTTCCTCCCATACAAAACGCCAATTTCATATGTAAGGACCTAATATTTGGTATAATATATATTATGACTAATCTGGTATGTACAAGATTAAAAGTTAAGAACTAGGATAAAATAACCATTATCTTTAAATAATTTATTTGATTTAGAGATATAAAAAAATACAATCAAAAATATATCAAATTATTATGAACTTATAAATTAAATGAGATCAATCTTCATACTTAATTAGTGTACTGGATATTTGGCAGGGCTATGTGAATAATAGAGCCCATTATGCCCATCAAGCCCGTAACTGTCCACCTTGCGTTCTAGGTAAGGACTGACGTTGTGATATGCCGCTTTTGCCGGGATGTATCCATATTTATGATTATGTATATAATGTGATGGGTCATTGGGAATAAAATAATGCTCCTTTTGCACGGGAATATGATTTCCATAGATTTGTTCAGTATTAATTTTACGTTCTAAATAGGGGCTGTACGGATGTCCTATGTTGTTCCCGTAATGACCGTTGTAATCGCCAGCATAGTGTCTGAAATAAAGATATAACATTCTTACTATTTAGGGAATAATATAAGGCTCCGTATATATAACTCTACATAGTAAAAATTTATGATAAATAATTAATTATGGACTGCAGTAATATAATAGCAAAATCATTCACTAACATAGTTGCTCAGAAACTTTTAGCAGGCATATGCCTGTATAATTATTATATATTATTAATTATCTACAATCTTACTTACCCAAAGTAGTTGTTGTGGTATCTTCCAGTTTCATGCTGAAAAGAATTACAAAACATTATAATCTATAGCTATATACATTTTAAACTATAGCAGTTATAGAACATGAAGAATTTACAAGATCTATTAAAAAGGACTTTAAACTCAACAACATGTAGTTTGTACAGATGGTTCAAAGTAAAATGAAACTTACTTCTCCTCTGGGATGATAAGGAATAGGTTTGTAGTATTCTTCACGAGGTTTCAGATATTCCGGGTTGATATGAGTATGTGAAGTTGCCTCTTCATTTGTAGCGGCAGTTATTGTGGCTACGCTAGCAATTAGCAGTAACTAAAACACAACGATATATTATAACTTAATTTAAACACAATTCACCACTGCAATTTGTTATTAATTATTTTTACTAATCTAAACAGCGCTACAGAATATACATAAATAATTATATGCACAGTTAATCAAAATACAGAGGTCTGTAATACACACAGCCGTACTTTTGAAGGAAAATGCTAAGAAATGTATCGATATAACAATAATAATTCAGCAGTGCCACATCTCTGCAGTCTTTCTTTAAACATTTGCCGTCATTTTGTCTTGGAATTGGTCGTTGATGTCAGGTGTAACATATGCCACAAATTTACTCTTCACGTTTCCATTTACAGGATTCGATCGGGTAACCCCTGGGTGGACCATCACGCTGCACATACTCGTGAAGGTAGAGAACACTTTAAATTTAATTAAAAACTTACCACAATCATTGTTGAAGAACTGTATTATTCTATATTGAATCGCGTATAACGCCCATTTAATATAGTAGTTTCAACATTATTTTGTGTGCGTGTTCGGTTATGTATGCATGTATGCCGCATACATTCTGATTTAACATTAGCCTATTAACTTTTAACACACGAATAAAAATCTAAATCAGTAAGATGTTAAGATAAAGCCTTTAATAAAATTGTTCCACGGAATTTGCATAAATTCCATTCAAAATAAAAATTTTGAATCTGTATATAATAATAATAATAGCCTTTTAATTCAGATACTTATACATTTAAACTTTTTTTAGGTATCTGTATGCCCTTTTTTATCAAAGGCCTCCTGCAAATTCCATTTTTCCACTCTGCACTCTGCCACTCTCAGCCATCTACCACCTGCTGTTTATATATTTTGTCTCACACATCAAGTGTAGAACCGTTCCCTCAATTGTTGTTGTTGTTAAAAATGCAGGTAGATTTGAAATCTAGACGAAACCAAAATTTGCCTGGTTTGCTTTGAAATAAACGGTATTACTTGGTTCAGACATTTGGTCTTGATTAAAATTATAATGTATTTGCATGATCGGATTATCTGTTAATTACAATAATTACAAGCACTTATTTTACCATTTAATTGATATACATTATACTTTATATCTACTAGATATTATCTAGGTGTAAAAACAAATTAAGATTCTCCGAGATATTTGATGTTATACAATAGTATCTATGAGTGTAGGTACTTATAATGATAATATGGGTTAAATATTAATTATGAAATGAAAGGTCAAGCAATATTAGCGCTAACATTTATTTTGTCATTTGATAAATAATAGAACTTAATTTACATAGATTTTTGAGGAGATTTTTAAATGTGATGTTGCTGTAAGTGGAAATGGTGATGAGGCGACGAGTGATGCACTATTGCGTTAAACCTGTAAAATTATTTATTATATATATTATTAGTATTTATAAGTTAACTTTAAAATATAGTTTGAGAAGTGAAATAAATTATCTAATGTTTTGAGAAACGACAAAATGAAATCTTGTCGCAATATTGACTTTATTATGAAGTACTTCTTGTATTTAAATATGCATATTAATTTAATACAATACGACATTCCTTTCTTTCTTTAACCAATCGATGGATGATTAGACAATTTGTGTATCTATTTATAATTCGATACAAAAAGGTTCCAATATAAGCAGTTTGGCCAAGTCGCTTCAGCGTGCGACTCTCATTCCTGAGGTGAGGTTCGATCCCCGGCTATGCACCAATGGACTGTCTTTCTATGTGCGCATTTTTTTTTTTTGGGGGGGGGGGGGGGGGGGGGGGGGGGGGGGGGGGGGGGGGGGGGGGGGGGGGGGGGGGGGGGGGGGGGGGGGGGGGGGGGGGGGGGGGGGGAAAAAAAAAAAGGGGAAAAAAGAAAAATATTCGCTCAAACGGTGAAAGAAAACATCGTGTGTCAGGCACAGGAAGCTGATCACCTACTTGCCTATATTAAATGATCATGAAATAAATACAGAAATCTGAGGCCCAGACATAAAAAGATGTACTGCCACTGATTTATTTTTTTATTTTAAATTTTATGAACGTGTCTATAAAAAAATATGTTTTTTATAGAACAAGGGGCAGGAGGCTCACTTGATGTTATAGCACTCGCGAGTGCGTTGTTTGCCTTTTATTCTTTATATTAGCTTTTAATATCACTAATAAAGTACTAATTTCACGGTTTCCATAACAAAATGTACCAATAAATTGTACATCTATGATATCTTAAACCCTATTTATTGCGTTTAACAAAGAAATAGTTTATTACACATTCGCCACGGCTCGTTAGTGGAACATGCTGACGACAAGGCTTATTTGTTTATTCGTTACCAAGTACCGATTTCTCAACCAAATTACTGTGCATTGAAAATATTCTAGTCCTATTACTCGAGGCTATTTGAAACTAGAGTGGGAAATTCAAAGGAAAGTCACGAACCTATTGAGCAAATACGAAAAACTTTTTCTCTAACAAAATCTAATAAAGATTTCATTTTAAAAGGTCTTTGAAAATAGTTTAAGAAGTTTTTTTAATACAGAACTGAACAGACATTGGCTGTAATTCTCCTCTGATGTTAGGTGAGATGCAGCCTATCCAGCAGAAGTCTATTTAGACGCCGCAAAAATTAAGCAATGTTACACTGAAGAGTAGTTATAAATAACTAATGTTAAATACTTACTTGTTACGAACATAATAAAACCTGGATTATGTAAGGTGCACAATCCCTTGCCGTGCATATTGTTGAGACGTTTTCATTAATAAATATGTATTGATAAGTGATCAGCTGTTTCAACCTGACACACGGCGCACGCTGCTTATACGGTGGATATACACTATACTAACTAAAGTATTGAAGCGGTATTTTGCATTCGGACGTTATATTTACCCAGTATGGTCATCAGCCTTGTATTCCACTTTCCTGGTCCTACCATCAGGCTCAATAAGCTCATACCCTCCTTGGACTACGTCTCCATGACGAAACTCGTGCTGAGATTTCACGTCACCTGTGTGATGGTCATGGACGGAATACGCGAAGTTGTATTCAGGGAACGCCTGTTTAAATTGCATTTCTCATTACTATTAAATAAATTTTTATTTAAATAAGCAGTTAAGATGTTATTTATTATGTTAAATAATAGATTTGATCAATGAATTTTTTTGTAACAGATTTTGGAAAAAAAACACTTTCCAAAAGAATATAATAGAATGGATGATATTTACGTACTAGATTCTATGTAGCACGTAATGTGTTTACATAATTTATTGGATCACTTATTAAATAAGTTTTAATTGTCATTACATCTTCACATCAACGTGTGAAATCTGTCATTCACTGAAATCAATTCTTAGGCATTACGTGACAGAGGTACCATCTATATAAATTACTTAACAACACGAACTTACTACTATATTACTACGATATTACTTAATAATACGAAGCCTTACAAAAATAACAGTCGTGGTACGCTCAAAAAGGTTAAAGTGGAAATGGACTGGTTACATTGCTTTGCAACGCAAGCTTGCGATTTTAACAGATGGGCCAAACAGATCATTACTTGGAATATAATAAAAAGGAGAGGACGCCCACTAGAAACCTGGGAAGATGAAATAAAACAGAGATACAGAGACAGATAAGAAGAATTTGGAGAAGACCTTCACTCATTCGAAGGTCGTGTACTAATATTAAATGCAATAATAACATTAGCTTAATGTAACCCTTTTCATAGTTTTCGAATATAGCCAATTTTTTTATAATATATCTTTTCAGTATTTTTTTTAAATATGCTATTTTGAGAAGGCTCTATCTTTTATGCTTGTCACTTGTTAACTGCTTATAACTGTTGCATTTTACGAGTGTCAGTCTGCGGATACACTTTTATAGGAGTCACATCGGTAGGAATTGGTTAAGTTTTTATGAGAAATAAAACTACTACATTAAGTAAGAATACTTACGTAATGATCATGATGAATGGGTACATGTGGAACATGCGGCACATGGTGAATTGGTACATGATGAATTGGGACATGATGGTGCTCCAAAGGTACATGATGATGAATCGGCACGGGGTGATGAATTGTGATTGGGTGATGGGGTCCGTCGTGTTTCTCTATATGTTGGTGGGATACCGCGGTGGGAATGTGGTGATGATGGTGCAATGGAAATATTGCTTGGCACACTGATAGCAGTGCAAATGCACATAATAACTGAAAAAGAAATTAATACACAGCAATAATTTGAGAATCGACTTCCTCCATCATACTGTAATTCGAAGCCAAACAAAATATTTATAAAAATTTAGGACAAATTTCAATAATATGAAATCACAACTTTACTTAGAAATTAATTTGACTATAATATATTTAACAGTTTGGTTACTTAATGGTTCAAAATCATTTGTTAGGCTCATCAAAGTTTCCCATTCCAAAAACAACTTCAGGAGATTTGGCACTAAATTCAACAACGGCAACGCATTAAATCTGGTTGTAATCTAAATTGAACACCGAACTAAAAATCTACATGACTTACCCTAAACATTTTTGTATTTAACTATTTCCAATTCCTTCGTTAGATCGCGGATATGAGTGACTGTATTAGCTAAGTTTATACGCTTATATAGAAGTTTTAATTGTGGGAAATATCAGAGCAAAACTCTATTGATTAGTTTCTCAGACTTTACCTACTCCTATCGTAATATGTTACATTAGTGAAAAAAATATTATGGTATTTTCACACCTACGCTACCTACCATTCAATTGTTTATCTAGTTAGCATACATCTATGTGGAAACGAAAAGAGTATACAAATAATATATAGATTTTCACCCTACAGTAGTCAAACTATAATAACAGCACCACTATATGGAACCAGCTGCCCACGGAAGTATTTCCGAACCAATTCGACATAGGGTTCTCTTCTTCTAGAATTCTTAAATTACCGGCAATTCGCTCGGGAATTCTCTGGCACTGAGAGTGTCAATAAGCGGCAGTATCACATTAACATCAGATGAGCCTCCTGCCCGTTTGCCCCGCTTTTAGTCAGACTCTTAAGTCAAGTCATTTATTACAATTAGACCACCTAAAATGGCACTTTTGTACGTCAAATAAAATATAAAGATGATTCTAGTTGCCTCTTCCAAAAGGTAGTTTCGTGTGGAGAAGAATGGACAAGAAACTCCACACTTATACTTTTAAAATATTTTGTATATATTAGTTAAATAATTATATGTGAAGACAATGTACTCCTAGAATAAATTGCTATACTTAAATAGGCACAAAGTATTACTTACAAATTTAGCAATGCAGCGGATAGGTCAATTATTGTATTTTTATTATACATATTCCTCACATATTTAAAAATATCGAAACCGTAGAATATTATACATTAAAGAGTAATAAAAAAAAATCAATAAAACAGTGTGTGAAAAATATAATTGTATTTAATACGTTTATTTCTTAAATTATAGAAAAAGGGTTTTTGATTTAATTAATCTAATTGGGTCCTGGTCATCTCAATGCTACAATAATTTAGAAATGTCAACGATTTTTCTTAGAACTATTGTAGCAGTAGTTCGTGTATAATAATGACAAAAAACAAGATTTTGACATACAGTTAATACTGCTAAGCTTGTGAGAACTATATGAATTGTAAAATCTTTACAATAGTAAATTGTGAAATGTGATCTTGTACAATGGAAGTAGGCAAACAAGTGATAAAAATTAATTGGTCATTAAGATCGAGTAACTTTAACCTAATTCGTGGATTATGTGTATCCCATAATCTTAATAGATTATACCCTAGCTGACGCCTTTTTTTCTATACCAGCGAACACAATACACTATTTGGAACTATTTTAAAGTACCTACAAGTTACAATAAAGTTGGGTTATGATAAGGTAATTTGTCAATTAAGTTTTTCAAACAGCAAAACCGCTTTCACGAGACTACTCTAAACATGAGAGGAAGAAACTACTGTTAGATATTATTTATTTTATTTATTTATTAACATTTCGATGGAGAAACCTAATACAATTTGACATAAATAAATGAACCTTAGTCTTAACTTTCGTACTAACTGATGTGAAACTGATCTAAAATTATCGTGATTCATGTGACCTTTTTTAGTTTAGTCTTTTGTTCCTGTTTTACTTTTGTCTAAATAACTATATGTATTATGTATTTTTGCACTTCTTGCTTACCTTATCTATTTTTTTTTAACAATGGTTACCTGATCATTAGAGATCACTCGAAAGCGATAAGGCCTCCAGTTGCCCTCCTTTTCATTTAATTATGTTAAATTTTTATATTGTAATTTAATTTATTGAGTGGTGTTCAGTTTTAAAGAACTACCCTTCAAATGTGTGTCCTCACTTAAGCAAAGAGCTTCTCGATTCCCGGAACATTATAGTGGCCAGTATGGATTTTATAGGTTTCAATGAGATTACTTCTTAATCATTTAACTAAATCAGTAAGATCAAGTGCAGATCAGACACTCAGTATGAACCTTAACAACACCTAAATGACAGTTGAAAATTCACATCAATTTGTTTCTAAACAATTTTGTACATAATGGTGTCTACGAACACCGCGACACATACTTCAACATGATTGCGTTCAAATTGGCCTCTATATAGGAATTACTGTCACATTCATGTCGTAAGAAAATAACTATAGTTTTATTATACGAATAAATAAATAATTGATACAATCAAAAATCCCTTATAATAAAATTAATTCTTAGTAGAATTGAATTAGTATGATAATAATCAGATAAATGGAATGTTAAAAGAGTTGCGCAAGCGCTTGTTGAGTGTTAATTGTACCGCTGAATAGAAGTCCGCACACGCCAGTATGCGTGTCTAATATAATACTTAGTTATATTTCGGGCCACTAACGCAACGTTACAAGGGCAAGACGCTTATTCATTTTGTAAATATATTACAAATATAGCGAAAGCATAGTAATTTAAAAACACATACACATTATAATTTATATGAGTGTTGAGTGAATAAACCTTTTCGTGCGCACGTTTTTGAAGTTATACTAAATTTAAATTAGAATAAATTTTTATGATGCGCGCGCACACCGTCACAAAAAACCGACACCCTGAATGTCTGTTCAAATGTCGGTAAAACAGTCTGGGCCGCTAGTTGTTTTTTATTGACAAGTTGCATTGTCTGTCATGGCGTAGTGTTTTTCAGAGTCGTGTTTATTTAAACCAAAATAATGATTTCTATACGAGAAAATACCATCCCATACCATAAATACAAATCCTGTTCTAATGTGATAAAAAACATAGTATTTATTACAAAATATCATGATAAGTACATATTATATCGTTTCGAATGGAAGTGACCATTAAAATGGACAAGGAAAATGCAATTCGAAGAGGGAAACGTCCCTCTAAAGTGCTCGAAGAAAATTATTACGCCAAAGAAGTAGTAGTTTTTACTCTGTGCGCATTTACCATTCGCTCGCACTGTGAATGAGGACATCGCGAGGAATGCTTTAAACACAAAATCAACGGTGTGCGTCAGGCACAGAAGGTAGATCACCAATTTGCCCAGTCAGAAATATAAATAATTACAGATAAGGAAATCTGAGGCCAAGACCTAAGGGATGTATTGTCTTTTCGCAAGAAAACGATAAAATACTGATCAGCAAAGTATGTTTATTTACAGTAGTGAATATCAAATATACACATTTTTTACACTTAAATATCACAATCATCATACATTCAACACGAGCACATCAATATAGCCTAGTCGTTTAGTAGTGGAGACCGTGATGCCCATGAGCGTATGCGATGGGGGCAGCGTGTACGATGGGAGCTGCGTGGACGATGGGGGCAGCGTGAACAACTGGGGCTGGGTGGTGGCCAGCGGTTTTGTGGACTACAGCGTTGAAACTGCAAGCAATTCAGACGGTTAAAAGTTGTTCCTTAATCTCAGATTTAGAGGTTTGCCTTTTTTAATACAAATTAAATCTTACCCGTGGTGGTCATCAGCGGTGTAGTCAACCTTACGGACGGAACCGTCAGGTTCAACCAGAGAGTAGCTGCCGTGGACTGCACCACCGTCGCGGCTCTCGTGCTGGGATTTGTGGTCTCCGGTGTGGGGGTCAGCCACGGAGTAGGAGTAGTCGTATCTTGGGTGAGACTGCAAGAAAATTAATTGTTAACTCAAAATTGTTTATATTTTACTTGAATTTTAGAAAAGTATAAATAAAGCATTTAACTTACGTATTCAGCGTGCACGGGGGCAGCATGGACGATGGGGGCAGCATGAACAGCGTGGATTGGGGCGGCATGAATAAGGGGGGCGGCGTGGACTACGGGAGCATGGTGGATGGGGGCGGAGTAGTAGCCATGGACGGGAGTGTCATGACGCACGATGCTTTGCGACGACACAGCCGAGGCGTGGTGTACTGGCAGGAAACCAGCGTTGGCAGCAGCCAATAAGGCGCTCAGGGCGACGATCTAAAAAGAACAACAATTAATTATTATGAACATTGTTCAAATAATTTTAAATATTATTGGTATGTCCTGTTGACTTACTTTGGTGAACATTTTGCAGTGTAAATCAGAGTAGGTGACTGATACTATTATCGTGGTCGCCTGGACTTTTATATGAAATCCAAAACTTACTGGACAGCCCTGCAGTGGTGGGGTATGCGGTCAGCAAGTTCCGTAACTTTGACATAGCGCTGCGAGGTCATTTTGCGCCTTCGATAATAGGCCTCCGTCCTCACTGTTGCCACTTGCGCCCGCAGCTACGTGTGGTGGAATTTAAATACTATACAGTTGATTTATGACACCGTTTCGTATATTGATCATTTTCAAAATAAGCTTATGGAAGTCAATTATTTTTAATCTATTAACAAAAATAATATAATACAGGACTAAAGATATTGTAGAATGGTATCCAAGACAAGGCAAAACAAACCGAGGAAGATCGATCTTAAAAACGTACCAGGCCCACTATGGAGAAGGAGGGCCCTGGATAGACTACAATGGAAAAATCTGGTGGAGGCCTATGTCGGAAGACAAGTTATCTATTTAGTATTAAATATAAAAATATGTCATAAGATTATTTATTAGGTGTAAGAACTTGGTTGTTTGAAATAAAGGCTTCATTCATTCAACAATAATAAGTTATAAGTTGAAACATACATTACTATATTAAAAGTTATTCCGTAAGTAAATGCAAAAATTGTTAAAAAAACTACATTACTCATTTTGAGGTTTCTCAAGCATGTCCATGTAAAAATCTTTTATTACACTTTTATTAATTCAAGTTATCTTTTATCTCAAGTACTTCAATGATGTAAGTGAAATGCTCTAGAGTAATTTTAGTGTCGCTTGTTTTTCGTAACCGCAATTATTAATTTCCATACGCGGGGGCGTTAGTTATCTTTATTGACATGGCGCAAATATCGTTCAAGGCGTCGTTATCAATTATATCTTACCTAACCACCCCTATTCGCACCCAAGTTACAAAAAATCTTTTTCTGTTTATTTACCTAAAAAAACATTTTTTC